TATGTAATTCGAGTTCTAAAAAAAGGATTCTATAAAATGGAAAAAATCATTCCCATTTTTTTACAGATCCTTGATTTATAACATACTTTACTCAACGTAATATGTTTTGTCCTCTCCAGCATCATTAGCAATCAAAACATGTGCACATCAATTTGTGTATTTAGATCGGATTCCACTATTCTAGATCCCAAATTTTAGTCAGTTGTCTGTCCACGTTCAACGAAATCTAAATTAGTTCCTTCTGCCCAAAGTTATAAACCAATAATTAGCATATGTTTCAGCTGCTTTTCTTGACAATTTTTTCTGTGACGTTTATAGGTGGCAAAACTCTACCTTTAGCCTCTCATTTTATTAATTTAAAGGCTTTAGTCCTTCACCTTATATTATGATATTTTTAGTCTCTCATTTTACTACATTTGTAGATTTTAATTCCTCACTTATTAAAATTAAAGAAAATAGTTTTTATTTTGTAATATTTTGTTAATTCTGTTAGTTGACTGTTAGTTATTAAAAATTTTCTTTCAGCTAGTAAAGTTAACAAAACTAATTTTATAATATTTCGTTAATTATATTAATTGGCTATTAGTTGATAAAAATCAATTTTCAGTTAATAAAATTAACAGTCAGTCTAAACTAAAGGCTATTTTCTTCAATTTTAATATGTAAGAGATTAAATCTTACAAATCTAATAAAGTAAGGAATTAAAAGTATTTTAATATAAGGTGAGGGGTTAAAACCTCTAAACCTGATAAGGTGAGGGGTTCAAGTGGGTTTTTGCCATCGGTACGGGAGGGTTTATCACATCCATCGTCTCTACTTTCGACGCTATTTAAGGTTCGCATAACAATAGCTGTCAAATAGGGACAAGCTCACCGAATACAGAGTCGGGCTTCACTCCATTTAATGGTCCACTCATGCCGTCAAAACTGCAAAATTTTTTACTCGAATTTTTCTCCGAGTGTTTCTTCTAGTGTCATAGATAGTGACAGTACAAATTGATGGCAAAATGTGAAGGAAACACATGACTCCACATTGTTTCTGAAATATCTTATTTTCTTCCAAAATTTTAAATTGATTTGATAATGATGCCATAGAAGATAAAACCCCAAGGATGGTGCGGTCACCAATACACATACATATATCTCCCCCACTTATCTTTCCCAAAGCAAAATCACCGACGCTTTCTTACCTTCTCCAACCCATTATTTCTCCAAATCTCTCATACCCTAAACGTTTCTTACTTTCACAAAAATGGCGAACCCCATGCGAAAGTTAATCCCTTGTTTCCTTCTCCTCATCCTCCCATTCCATCCCTTCTCCACCTTAGCCGATGTCAAATCGACCTTGAAAACGTCATCCAAGGACCAACTACCATGCCAAATGTGCATCTCATGTGACAACCCTTGCCCTGTATACTATCCACCGCCTCCACCTCCTGTGGTTTACCCTCCTCCACCGCCTAAAATCCCCTATTGCCCGCCACCACCACCAACCTGCCCTGAATGTCCACCGTGCAAAGAATGTACACCAGGTGCGGTACCCACAGTACCGGGACAACCTGGTGTCGTTGGCGGTGAAGTTTATGGCCCACCTAGCGCCTCTGGTGGAGCAGTGCCTTACTTCCCTTATTATTATAGGTACCCTCCAGCGGAGCCTATCACTTCTGCCTCCACCTCCATTCACTGGAAATTGTGGAATGCTTGTTCCGCCATTTCTCTGCTACTTGCCACATTATGCTTCTACTAACTAAAATATTGCAACCTCGGAAGCAACCGTCAAGATGGCGGTGTCGTAGTTCTGGGAAATCGATATATATATTTATTGATGGAGATTAGCATCAAGTAGAAGAAGTAGTACTTAATAAGGTTGGTTTATCAAAATATGCCCAGCTGAATTTAATGTTGGTTGGTCACGTTTTATTTATAATTCAGCTAATGTGCTCTATGTGTTCACTTGTATTGTTGTACTACTAAAATAAATGGATTTTGTATGTTGTAGTAATTGTTGAAGACCTAAATTAATTTCAATTGTCAATTAAGCACAATTTACTTTAAATTTCATTTATTCTTCTTCTTTTTTTTCATTCTACATATGATTTTTTAAGAAAACATTGGGGAAAAAAGAATTTTTATTTTATTTTTATTTTTTTATATTAAAGAGTTAACTACTTGGTATCACATAAATTTAAATTTCTAACCTTGATATCAAATAAAAAATTTTAAATTAATGAGCATTTTGATCAAAATTTTATTAATATTCTGTATATGATGTGATGCATGTTTTTATGTGGTTTTGAAAATATTAACCAGAGTTCGTGTGATTCCATACATCCAATTGTGTCCTGGTCTGGTTTTGTATTTGAAAATAAATCATGGTAGAGTAAAAGTGCCGAATCATGGCGGATCTTAATTAATTTTGAGATCTCATCCTAGCACTCTCATCAAAGTGAGGGGTTCTTAATTTTTTTTTTTCTGCTTTTGGTGGCCAATCATTTTCATCATGTTGACTTTCTTTTGGTCTATTAAGTATTAACCATTCATATCAAAAATGCAAAAGTTCAAAAAGACAACATAATAATAATTGAATCCAAATCAATAATGTTCCAAAGAACAAG